AATTAATTTTTATATTACTGTTTTCCACCCTCTTTATCCCTTAGAATTAACCCTTAAAATTAAGCTTCTTAAAAAACTCCTTATAAAATCAGTGTTAATAGATGAGACTAAACTTCTGAAGGCTGAACAGGTCACTATATGTAAATGTGATGGTTGTCATGACATCACAAAAATAGAGAATTCAAAACGCCTGCTTGCACAACTTAACTTTCCATGTGTGGGCTGTGAAATAATAAAGTATGGTTTGAAACTTTAACAATGTTTACAAACTACATCAAACTCTTATTTACAAAAAGTAAGGAAAATTCAGTTTTCCATGATATGGGTCTTTTAAATATTCTGTATGCCTTGGTCAAAACAATGTCTGTAAGAATGGCAGTCATGGCCTGTTTACTTACGAGGAAACTGTGCCTGGTGGAAGTTTGTCACTGGCTTTGGGCAGCCAGACCCTCTAACAGTGATCTCCTTCTTTCTTCGGAATTCCTCCACTTCATACTAAAAAGCGCACAAGAGCATCACTTTTAGTGCACATTAGCATCTTTCATTTATCCCATTATGATCAGCGATATAACACTATTTTTATAAAACAGATTTGGGGCAAGATAAGGTGTAGATGTTCATTAATCTCTTTGCAGCAAAGTTTCATAATAATTTAAAACATCTTGAGTGAAGAAATCGTACTAGACAAATGCAATAGGGATGCGCGATGATATTTGAATCAGTACAGTGTCAGCAAATCAGTGCTTAAAAAATATTAGCATTGGACAGATGTTTAGATTTGACTGATATTTCATTTGATATTTGATGATTTATTGTTGCAGAATGTTTATGTGATATCGGACTACTGTGCAACCCTATAAAAGTAAACATTATATTTTTCTACACTGCTAATCCAGACATATGTACACCAATTTTTACATTTTGTAATTGTTTATGTACTGGTAAAAGTAAACATACACATGAAAATACACTGGATATCAACATCGGCCCACAATTTCCATATTGGCGCATCCCTTAAATAGGGAGACAGCAGATATTTAACCCTCAATACAAAACCACATTTCTTTTCCACACCTGAGTCATGCGTTGGACCTCAATGTGCTCACTGTAGAAGTTTTTCTCAAATTTGGGCAACTCATCAAGATCCCATTTCTTCTTCCTCAGCCGATCGCCAGGATTCCCAAATTTCTTAGGAGGGGGTGGACCTCCACGGCTGGACCCAAAACGGGGTCTACAGGAACAACAATAATAAACAACAGTCATGTTCCTCTGTACATCCCATGTGTTTAGCAGGATAGTTCTACAATGGCATTAGTTATTACTTCACTATGCCTTCTGGTTATCGTAGCTCCCCACCAATCAAGAGTGACAATATAGGGGAAACACCAAAATGCTGCTACTTGGTTCAAGCTAAGAATTCCCATTATCTTTATTGTATGTAATTGTTCACCATTATGAACAACTAAAGACATAAAATGCAATTCAAAGGTGATATTTCCTTTATTTCATGTTATTGATCTGTTTCAGGGTCAACAACACTTGAATAACCCCAGGCCAGGGTGTCTGAAGTCTATTTTTTTTACTTGATAATCACAAAACACTGCATTATAGCAGAAGCACAAAGACAATATAAATTAATAACTGATGTGTACGACACAGAACTCATTTAACTGAAATATGCAAAAATGAGCAACTGAAGTTAGCCTTAACAAAACAACTCATGTACAACCCTTGTTGACTGTTCATTTAATATTTTCCCTTAAGTGGATTTCAGAATCAGTTTCAAGTTCATTCAATTCATTTTGCATCAAAACACATCAATGCCCACTTCCCCTCTCTGAACAGCCATTTTGTGAGAGCTTCCTGACTTATTCCAGATGAGTTTCTGTGGTTAATTTTGATTAATCATATCATCCAACAAATTTAGATAACACATTGCAGGTTTACCTTTCATCATGTTACATTAAGAGTTTGACAATATTAAAATGTGTTCACATATTAAGACATTTTGCTATAACACTCAGCAATATCATATTTTATTTATATCATGAAACATAAACGTTACAGTCAGTACTGTGTATGTAATAAGACCTCCATGTGGTGTTTCACAAAGCATGTCTTAGTAAGCCTTAGTAAAGATAACTTTACTTTTGGCTTACATTACCTGTCTAACTGCTTGTTAAATAGTAAATGTTCTTTATTACCAGTGAATGAAACAACAGTTCCACAACAACAGGGCAAACTGACATAAGAAGAAATACTGGCTACTTTTTATATTTTGAGTGCAGTAATTGGGGAGTGGACAATATGATATTTTATTATTGTGATAAATTATGTCACAACATACTTTTCTGAGCATATAGTGGATATCCTCAGTACTTAAACCAGTTTAATTGGATTTAGTTCACTACAGCCAGTAAAACATTGACCAAAATCTTCATAACTGTACACGTATTATTTAGTGATTTCACATGTATCATTAAAATGAATAAGTATCGTAACACAATATTTTTACCACATTGCCCACCCCTAACAGTAAGCACAAAAAATAGCTCCACTTAACATAGAGCCTAAACATAACAAAGCAGTAACTTTAGTCTGCTTCTTATTCACCAGCTTCTCCACTTAGACCAAAAATCTTTGTACATAACCAGTAATGTAAATCATACCAAAAGGTTGTAATTATTTTCAACATCATCTTTACATAAAGCACAAATATTTTCATCCAAATTAAACATTCGTCTCAAAAATTCTTAACATTCTTTTGACTGATGTATTCCATTTATTATCTTGAAATGCACTTCTTTGTTTTGAGGGGACAGGAATTATAAGATACATATTGGTAGTTCCCACATAAAAAGCTTTGGGGAGAAAAAGAAAGTCTGGATTTCTAAAACACACACTTGAGTACAGCATCCTATTGAAACAGCACCTAAAAAAGTTACTGAAGAACTTCAACGAGGCTTAAGTTGGTTTCCTGGTCGTCAGCTTCATATTTTCCCGTCCCACCTTAAATGGTGCAGCAGTTAACTAACATGAGGCGTCAGAATGTAACTGCTGAACCATTTAAGGTGGAACAGGAAAATTCGAACAAAAAGCTGGCGAATAGGAAGCCAACTTAAGCCTCGTCTAAACGTGAAGGTAGTATGTTCCATTGTTAACTTTGTAGAAGAGAAATTCAAGAACTAATGTCATTTTTAGAGAAAGTAAAAAGCCTCTATGTTCTAACTACATTAAGTCCTTACCCCCGGTCACGTCCGCGGTCTCTGTCCCTGTCTCTATCGCCATACGATGAACTCCCTCTCATTTTTTACGATGACGGTCAAAAATGTTCGGTATGTGAGATTAATCTTAGCTAGCGACTGTAAACACGTCAATAACGTAGCAAAAATATCGCCACTATAATTGTTATTTATCTAGAAATGTGAGAAATGTTTCAAGAGTTTGTCGAAAATGGGTTCGTTTTGTTTGTTGTTGTTGTTGGTGGTGGTCGATGTTTTGCTCGCTAAGCACGCTAGCTAGCTAGTTAGATTTCGAATCTCCTCAAAAAATACGAATGCAGAATCTAAAATAAAACAATTTTGCAAAATACAATGCCCGATTAAACAAATAATGATAAACTCTTCGAATAATATTGGCATGAAATTGGCCTTTTTTTCGATATAAATTCCGCCGAATTATCACAGCGCGACCGCTGCAATGAAGGCCTTGGTCCCGCCCACCCGCTTCCAGTGTGGCGCCGTATCGTGCACCCTGGCACGTTCTGCACCCCAAGGACCTTTTGGTAGCGACCTTATGTCCGCCTGATCTGATTTAACATCATGCCACTTCGCTAAACTCTTAAAAAAATAGTTCTTCAGAGTTTGTCTAGTATTTTAAATATACGTAGAGCCATTTCATGCTTAAAAAGTTCTTTTCACGGTGATGGAGGATGTGTGGTATATTGTTCTATGTATAACCTTTTTGAAAATGGTTCTATATAGCACCAGAAATGGATCTTCTGTTGTTACGGCACTAAGCTTGTAATATGTGACGAACCCTTTTGGTGCTACAAAGAACCAAGTTTCTCCATCATTCTGAAGAACCATTTCGCCATGCAAAGAAACAATTAAATGCAATCGGTCCTACATTTCTTTTACTACAAACCCCTTGAAGAACCATATTTTGGTGTAGAGTCTTCGACATAATATTTAGAAAAACGCAGTTATATTTAACTTGAATTCAGTTGAATTTATATATAACAAACAAACATACAACCAGTATAAAAATAATTATTTGGCTCGTCCGGCCTGGAGCAGATTTCCCGAAAATGCTAGTGAAGTACTTGTTAATCTATACGACATATTACGAAATATATTATCTGTAAGCAAAATTTTACATCATGCACCTCAAATGACTGTACAAGTTATATTTACATTAATCTATGAATACACAACAAATCAGGCAGGAAAACATCTAACTAGGTGGTCATCTCGCCCACAGGAGTTGATTGACAGCACCGGCTACTCAACAGGAAACTGACGGGGTGCAAGATGTGCGGGAGGACGCATGTTAGCGCACCACGGCCGGGTTCTGCGCAGTGCAGCTGTTGGAATTCTGACGTGGAGTTCTTACGCAGCGCTGCCGCGACTGAGCACGAGGGCAGCAGAAATCCGCACAGTTTCGGTTCGGGAATTCCAAAAACGGCGTAAAGCTGCACTAAACGATAACACGTTTCATATAGACAGTTAATTTTAGAGTTCATTTAAAAGGCGCGACTCCAGTTATCGAAGTCGTTATCATTAATAAAAATAAATAATCACACACTGTTAATAACAACTTATTTTTCATTAAGTAATGAGCAGTGACTCATGCACTTTTTATCTTCATCTTTATTTTAGATTATAACCCACAGTTATTATTTTTCGTGTTACTGCAATTATTATTTTACTATATTATAGAAAAAGTAAAGAAATAAAAAAACATCTTGCCGATGGTGCAACCAATCATTGTCGAGAGGGCGTGGCAAACACAGGAAGTGCACCCGTTCACGGGCAGAGCCTGAATGTGAGGAACCTCAAGATCATAATAATGAAGAATATCTATTATTTTTAACGGTGCGCTCAGTTCTGTAATTCATGACCTTAATGACTTCAATGTTCAGCTTCAGTCGTGATAAAAAATGCCCCTCCTGACTCAAAACAAACGAATCGACCGCCTAACCTCTACGACAGAATTATTCTCCAGATATCCACATTTGACGGTAAGGACAGTTTTACATTATATTACAGCGTCTCATCAGGTTGCGCAGAGATATACTCGTTTTACGGAGCTGAAGTCAGTTTCTTCTTCGAATTTTCCCGTTCCACCTTAAATGGTGCAGCAGTTACAGGCGCCAGAATATAACTGCTGCATCTTTTAAGGTAGAACGAGAAAAATCGAGCAGCCAAATTCAGCCTCAGTTAAGTTTTCCAGTGACTTTCTTTGGTGCTGTTTTAATAGGATGCTGTACCCAAATGTGTGTTTTGGAAATCCAGACCTTCTTTTTCCTTCTACGTTCACTTTCCTGGCTCCCCAAAAGCTACGGAAAATCATTTCAAGAAGCTTGAAGAATTTTTGAGACAAAGGTTTCATTTAATTTAAAAACGTTGGTAAAGAAATTTTTGAAAAATCTGAACACTTATTTGTTTCCTGTAAATACTGTACAACCTTTTGGGATGATTCACATGATTGGTTATGTCCAAAGATTTTTGGTGTGTTTACAAAGTCTGATGATATTGTATACGGAAGGCCTTTCATAGGACACAGATAATGATGTGAAATGTTTATAGATGCTGTGTTATTGTTGGCAAAATGTTTTATGCACAAAATAAAGTATATAAAAACAACACCATCTTTCTATGTTATATATTTCGATGTTGTTGTCTCTTCCATACTACCCCCTTTATTTACTTATTTATTTATTTTGCTTATTAATGTTATTTTTTGTACTTGAATTTGCTGACTGCGCTCGGTTTCCTTTATCTAAATAATTGCACACTGCATTGCCATTATTGTTTGTACTAAAAAAAGTAAAAAGAAAGAAACCAGTAAAGTGCAGCTTGACAGTTTAAGCTAATCGCGTGTGTCTCGCTGTGGTTCTGTTTCATTTAAAAGGCAAATGCCAAAGAGTTTCGCTCTAAACCTCCTGTGACAGTCGACCCAAAGTGCCTCCTTTACGTGCAGCAGAGAGAATTTGCGGCCACTACACCGGCAGACAGTGAGTAACTGCGTCTCATCACTGGATCTTTAAGATCGGGGCGGGTTTAGTGATTCTGGGGCCCTGAGCAGAAGACTTTAAGGTGGCCCTCAGGATGCACATGCACTGCAAAAAATGATATCTTGGCAACTGAAATCATCTTAAATAGTGGATGTATCTGGTATTTCTCATTTTGAGATGATTGTAAGGATACTAAAAGGTTGTTATTTCTAGACATTTTCAGGTTGTTTTAAATATTTTATTTACTATAATTAAATGTTTGTAGCAGGTTTTGATTGTTTTAAGAAATAATGCTTGAAGTAAGCAAAAATATGTGCCAGTATAGTGAGATAGTTTGATGCTGACTAATGTAGAAGTCATGAGTAATGAGATTACTTTTTCGTAAGTCATAATTAATGTAATCCCATTGCATTTTGAGAGGAGTAATTAGTAACTTGTAATAGTTTATTTTTTGTGTAACTCCCCAACACTGGAGATGTCGATACTAACAATATGTACAGTCTGCTGAACCTGTGCAGCTCTTTGTTTTCCCTGCCTTTGCGTTTCTCAAATGCACTTCAATCTTCCCTCTCAACACCCAGAAGACTACACCTATGAACCTATGAAACTTCTCTCTATAATGTAGATTATCGCTCAATTACCTTGTTCATACCCGTCTGGAGTTGTTTCATAATGTAATAACATGGAATAGCACATTGTATGACCAGAAGGTGGGGCTGCATTGGCATTCTTGAACATAATCACTACAATTGCAAATAGCAATTACAATGTTTTACAATGTTGATGGTATACACCCATATATATATATATATATATATATGTGTGTGTGTGTGTGTGTGTGTGTGTTTAATATATGTATTAATAAGTGTATATATACACATATATAAATATATATTGCTGTCAAAACAAAACCTCACATCTCCAAAATAAGAACTTTACAGGAGGAGGAAAAAATACTTTTTTTATGTAAGTCAGTGTAGCCAGACATTTTTTTCTAATTTTGGGCCATTTCATTTGGTCCATTCATCATGAAATTTACACAGTGTGAGAGATGGGGTTTTGTTCTGACAACAGCAATATATATATTTATTTAACATAAGTCATCAATGTAATGCAGCCCTTGGCTCATGGGGGGACCTAGGTGGCTGCCTGCCTTTGCTTACTGGAGCTCCATGCTCTTGCCCTAAAGATGATTCCGCCTTTCCCACAGATTCTGTCTCTATCATTGGCTCTGCGGATGCAACTACATGTCACCTGGTGGTATTGCGGCATACAGGTAAACATGACACCTTTTTCCTGTTGTTTTTTTTTTTCTTCAAGTGAGCATTAAAAGGCCTGTAGTCCACATTTTTCTTGTATTTTTATTTTTTCCACTTGGAATGTTTCTGTGGGTTTATGAACTAGAAAACAGTTATTTATTTTTCATGTGACCATTTTCCCACCTCATTTTATTCCTAATTAAACAGTCTGTTTTTGTAATTATGTAAATAATCGTTGTTCTGGTAGGCTGCCACATATTGTGCCTCATTCAAAAAGGGGACAGGGCTAAAACACTCCTAAAAACTCCAACTGGAATTGGCAGGGCTAAACTACTGTACATTAAATAATAAAGGTGTGATATAGGCAGATGTAGGTAATTACATTGGTAATGAAAACAGTGAATTCAAAACAGGCTGTTTTTTTAAGATTAGTGTACAAACTAAATGAAATGGGATGTGAATGGTACGTTTTGAAACTTTTTTACATGCTACATCTGTTTTTGGTTTTGTTTAAAAAAAAAAAAAAAGCAAGGAAAAGTTTAATTTCGCATGATATGGCCCTTTAAAAGGTACTGCACAACATTATGTTTATGGAGGAATTTTTTCTCATATTTCCTTGAAGGCAGTGGAGCGACTTGTCTGGCTCACTGTGATGGTTCGAGTACTTTGACTGAAGTTCCTCTCCTTGTAAATGCTGTCACATCCTTAAGCAACCCTGCAAAAGATGGCAGGCAGGTGTATTTTTGGCTTTTTTTTGAGATCACATATTCAGTTAATGTTGTCTTTTGCACTTTTTCATGTTTCTGCAATGATGTCTTGGCGTATGTGTAGTACATGTAACTGTATTTATTTATCATATGCATAATGTTCCATGGTTTTTCTGTTATTGTATTACTCAAATTGGGAATCAGTAAATACATCTGTCTGTCTATCTGTCTACCTGTCTGTCTGTCTGTCTGTCTGTCTATCTATCTATCTATCTGTCTTTTTATTTTTCTATCTTTCTGTCTATCTATATGTATGTTCATGTGTACATGTCTTTCTATATGGGGCTGTTGTACTTAAAGGACCCATATCCTACATTTTATAGTATTTTCATTTTTTCCCCTGGTCCAATTATGAGGTTTGTGTGATTTTATACACCAAAAACAGTAATAATTAATTTTTACATGACCTTTTTTTTCGTGTACTATCCTCTACTTCTTTCTTAGACTGTTTTTATTACTGTGTCTTTAAAACGAATAGATGTAAATGATCTTTCTTTTGATTGGTGCCTCATTCAAAAAAGTAGTCCAGGCTGAAAGTCTCCTTAAATCTTCAGTGTAAATGTGTATGGGCAGAGCTAAACTTCTGTAGGCTGAAAACATGGATGTATGTAAATTAATTGTTTTTTAACAATTGTAAGTTCAAAAGGTGCTGTTTTTGCACGGTTTCCATAGATGGACTGCAGAGTGAATGGCACAATTTGAAAGTTTTAACAATATTTACACGGAACATCAAATTTATTTATATTTAAAGTAAAGGATGTATATTCAGTTAACCATGAAATGGCCTCTTAAATATAATCACTGATATTAGTCCATACTGAATTAATCTTTGTTTCAGGTTAGAGCTTCATCTTGTTGGGGGGTTTGACGATGACTCCAGAACGTCCCATAAACTCAGCCTTAATGTTTTAGGTATGCAAAGTTGTGCAAAGTCATGGTTTATTTATAGAAATTAGGCTACAATTCTGTGGCACATTATTTAGCGCTGTGTGCTTCATTTTGCAGTGGCCTTTCAGAAACAGAAGGAAGAAATTCACTTAGAAACATGCTGTATTACTGGTAGGTTGATGACTTTTTGTTTTTCCTCATGACAGATGTCCTTGATTTTTCATCCTTGTATAACTATTGATTGACTGTTGTTCTTTGTTTTGTAGATATGAATGATGTTGTCATTGATGGAATTCACAGACCGATTGTTTATGGAATAGGTATGGTATAACATGCACTAAGCCTGTTGACCAATTATATGTAATGCACAGTTGTACAGTTAAACTGTCTTTGCTTCATAGGTGTGAATGTAAAAACAGGTGAGCTATTCCCCGCCTCATTTCCACAGAGAGGGCCTGCAGAGGACTTGCGGTCTGCACGCACCTTCACAGGTGGACAGGTACAAAGATGATGTCAGTACAGTATCAGATTGTGTCTTTCATGTCTTTATGAATGTGATGATGTGGAATGAGGTGTGTTGGTTCTATATCAGCACTATGTAATCTGTTATGAAAAATCATCTCTAAACCTCTGTCAGAAGTGCCATGGTTGTCTAGCTTACTGATTATGGACTGAAAGCATGATAAATGGGGACTATCACTACTGAAAATCTGGTTGAAAAAGACAGATAAGACCAATTATAGAGAGCCTGTAAACAACACCAGTCAGTGCACAGTAAACCGCATAGTAGTTGTGGGTGGTACACCCGTTGAAATTCATCAGGTAAGAGTTTTGTCTTAACTGTTATACTGGTATGCCACAAATAAGCACAATGTACAAACAGTGCAAGTCAGTATTTCATCGTACACACACACACACACACACACACACACACACATACATATATATATATATATATATATATATATATATAGTTTCAAAGAAACAGTACATCGATGGCTGAAACCAAAGTTGAAACCTAACCTGTACCAGCAACTTTAAAACCCGACCAAGCCTGGCTGCTACTGTTAAATTTGAAACCTGGACCTGATTACACTCACAGATGGATTACTGTAAACATGGTTTTGGTTTTACAGAGCTTTGTCTGTTGCTTGAGTTGATCTATAGAAAAGATTACACTGGGATAAACTGGTATTTCACACATATGAACTACCAGTATTTATTATGTTTTTGTATAGTAGGTTTTTATGAATAAATAATAGTAATACATTTTTTTTACAATATGCCTTTCAAGAGTATAAAAATAAAATAAAAACTTTAAAAATATACATACACAATACTAAAAGGAAGAGTGAAAAAATTGAATATTCCTTCAAATAAAAACAATATTTATTTTTTTTCTAACAGATGGCTGGGGTATATGACTCCACTAAAGAACAGGTAACGATTGGACCATGCAGGTGGGCACCTAACAGGGACATTGCCTTCTGGCTGGCTCAAAATGATGATACTATCTTGCAGGTAACTGAATTACATCCATGCTGTAATTACACAGGGAAACCCAGCTGCAGGTTGTTGATTTCTAGGGTTGTCACAATTACTCACTGAAACTTGATTACTTAAAATAATGTTGCTTAAATTGTACCTTCTCAGTGAATCATCAATGATTAGTTGTCAATTTGCATATTACTAATAGATATTTTAAATACTCTTATTGCTCTCACTTACTGTAAGAAACAAAGCCTGATTGACAAGTCTGTTTACATATTTTTTTGCCATATTGTGTTTATATATATTTTTGACTAAGTCTTTCTAAAGACTTCATAGTTTATTTCTCCCATTTAGGTACTTTAGAATGTGTGTATTGTTTGTTATAGTTCAGTTCATTTTCACCAAAAGAAACTTAGTACCTTATTAATTGATATGCTGTGCTAAATTCCAGAAATGAGCATCACTGCAATAACAGAAGTCGAGCTTGATGTAAATTGATTATGCTTTATCCGACTTAAAGCGTGACCTTTGCTTGATGTGTATCTCTCGCCCCATCCTGTCCCACCAGTACCTTTCTACATCTCCTTATGCTGAGCCACCTCACTTTGTCCAACACATCAAGTCCACCATCCAGTTCCTGCTGGACCACCCCAGCGCAGACAACCTGTTCCCTGGAGGCCAGCCCCAGCGTTTCCAGCGGACGGAGCAGGGAGAGTGGGAGAGAGTGTCCCAACAATAGTCCAACTGCAACCTGAACACTGCCCTTAACTCTGAACAACACTGTGACCCAACCAGACGCCTTTGGAAGAAACTTCCGCTGGCAGTAGAAGTTGCTCTTTTATGCTAATCTAAGACCTTTTTGCAGTTTGTTTTAGGATGTTCAAGTCAATGTGAGGGGTTTAGTACAGTAAGCTGAGCCTGGATAAGCATAAAAGAGAAACTTCTACTTGAAGTGAAAAGTGTGGCATAGTTTTTAACTTATGCACTTACATTGTGAGTGTTGACACTCTAAAGACTGTACAAACCAGTACAGAAATAACAAGATGCTCCTTTGTGGACTGTCGAAACTCTTGAAGCTGGACTTGTTGCCTGACAGTTGTACGGTTATGTAACGATGTATTATTCAACACCATTATTTCATCATTTCTCTTCAGCCCCTTGCAATGAATCATAAACATGGCATGATTGGAGTCTGACTGGAGTGTGATGACTGTTTTTGCTGAGTAAAACACCACCACCACGTCAGTGTTACTGCAGTGCTGAGAATGATCCACCACCCAAATAATACCTTCTCCGTGAGGGTCCATGTAATTGTAGAACTACAAAGTGCACCTATATTGTAAGTGGAGCTGATAAAATGGACAATGAGTGTAGGAACAAGGAGGTGGTCATATGTTACGCTTGATCGGTGTCCTTGTAATAGCAGTAGTTCTACAGTAACAACGTCACATTCTGATAGTTTGCAATGAATCTCGTACCCTTTCGGTAGTTCTTGCCCTCAAAATTCTTTTAATGCTCTAAAACAAACATGACCAAGTTAACACAAAAATGACGGATGCATTAGGAGCTATGCTGCCAGGATACTTTATGATGTTGGAATTATAAGTAATGTTTACTGGAAGGGAAGAAAAGACTTGAAAATAGCATTGTTACATTCAGGTTAAGCCTCATTGCTCAAATCAGATTTTTTGTTCAGATCTGATTTTTCTTACATGATGGTTCACGCTAGTATAAGTAAGTGACTCAAATCTGTCATTTGTGTGAAAGGTGTCCTAAAATGACCTGCACATCATAATCAATAATGTCACATGAATGAACCCAGAGAAAGTGCAGAGAATCGCCACTCAGTAATGTCTTCTGGGTTTGTTAAACACTAGAGGGCGCTCCTGAACAAGACCAGAATGACTGGATTCATATGGAGCATTTGAGCAAAGTCATAGTTTATAAGTGCTTAAACATTTTTAATTTCATATTTTTTACATTTTTATATTTAATTTCCTAAACACAGAATGAAAATTTTAAATTCCAGTTATAGAACTTTATAAAGGTGCACTTTGTGAGGTTTAAAGGTGATTTTAACAAAGATTAATTTATTTATTAACATATATAACACATTTATAAAAACACAAAATATATTTATAAAAAAAATTGACAATTTTTTCACAGGTCACATTTGTTTTTCTGATATATTAAATTCGGCACATAACCAGTAACAGTGCAATACAGTACACGTTAATTTTGCAAATAAATGGAAATTGTGCACTAAATTTTGCACAAAACTGGCATACATGGTGTGTTAACTTTTTTTACATAGAAAAACAACAAAACGTCATTACCAGGGGTATTCAAACATTTTCATCAATGTGTCTCTGAGGGTTTAGATGTAAAGATCAAAATGATGGCTTTGACAGTAAGCTGGATCTAAATAAGCATAAAACTTGGAGTGAAAAATGTGGTACAGTTTTTCATGTATGCATCAAATTCATGAGTGTTGACACTTTAGAGACAGTACAGACCAGTACAGAAATAATAAGATGTGCCTGACTGGACTCTTTTCTAGACTCTTGAGTCTGGACTAGGGCTTAATCTAAGACACTTTCTGTTCAGTTCATTGCAATGATTCATAAATATGGCATGACATCTGATTGGAATGTGTTGAGTGTTCTTGCTGAGTAAAGAAAGTAAACGCTCTATATGCCTTTAAAAATACTGCATATCATTTAGACATATGAAGCAATCTTTAGTTGCTATAGTTGCTAGTAGTAATATTGTTTCCTGGTGCTGTTTACACTGGATCTCTTCTTATCTTTAGAACTGCACTTTTGTTCTTGCAAAGTTCTAAAACAAACATGAACAGTAATATTAGCTGTTCTTTCAGAATGTTTTTATTTGTCAGAAATAGAAGCAAATGTGACTCTTTAGGACCTGGAGGGAAAAACAGGCTGGTTTAAGTTATCCTGAAATCCTGAGGAAGAAAGTGACAACACCCCTCTGACTCTATTTTAGTCCTACAACACAAAATAACCTTCTGATCATCGTGAGGTATTCTTCATCCTTTTAACAAAAACATGCATGCAAAAAAATAGTTTTTTGCTTATTTGTTAGTTTGTTTCTGTTATTTGAAGCATAGTTGGTGACTTGGCATGTCCATCAGCCCAGTGTTTGCCATGCCAGAGTATTTCTCTGACAACTTTCTTGAACATGCATGCCTACATTTATAAGACACTCACTCAGAATGAAGTCTGATTTGCATGTATGTATCACAGATCACTTCTCTGATCAGGTTACTTTAACCAAAAAATGCAAGAGTTTTTGGAGCATTTCTTTCTTGGCTTTTATGTTGGAGTATTGATGACTAACAGCAAAAACCTGCCAAGAGGGGTTTCCCTTTGTAAACTAAAGGCTTTTACACAAAATGCAATAGTGGCTTTTAGTTGCTTTAGCAAAACAACATGAACAATTATATGTTTCTTTTGTGTTAGGAAATGAATGGGAAAGAATATAAATGGTGAAGAAACAACATAGCTCTCTTTCGTTAGTTTCAAGGGAGCTTTAAAGACCCCCTGCACTGAGAAATGTGCTTTTTAAACAGTTAACTCATCTTGTTTGTCTTATTATGTATACATATGGATTGGTAGTTGTCTCAAACGTGGTAGCACATTTCATATTTCACTCTATCTTAACCAGGATAGTGGAGAGAAGGAGTTAAGTTGGGATAGCAGGATGGCACATGGCCATTCCTAGTTTGCATAATTCTTCATATTATTAAGAGGGGTAAAGTTTTAGGATGCTCCTATGCTAATTTTAGCAGTTCCTTAGGTAAAAAAAAAAATCATAAAAATATTTAAAGGTTTATTATTTAATGTATAATAATTTAAGCTGATTGGTCTTTTAATTTTTGAAGTAGAACCAAACAACTAGTGAAGAAAGACTGGGCTAGTTATCATCTCTGATCATACGTGCAGACAAAGCTGGGCGTTTCACTGACTGAAAAAAAGAAATAGCAAGTTGGAAGGTGCCTTGCTCCAGAAATGAGGAAATGTGTATCAGCATGTTCATGAGCCTGAAGTCCTACAGTCATACATGGTCTTGTTCCTGCTTTTGTGTCTGAACTTATTCTTCTTTATATACTCTTCTGCTTTCTTAAGTCTTCTAGCCGTTGCACCCCAAAATTGTAAATGGAATTTACTGCCCCTATCTTTCTGTCACTGTTTTGTTGCTTGATTTTTTTACTTCTCCTTCCTATGATTTCTTTGTAAACTGGCCATGGGTAAAAGAAAGGCACTATATAAATGGAAGAAAGCAACTCAAGTTTCAAAACACTAAAACAAGTAAATGTCTTACACTGATCAGGTAATATACAGTGAGCATTTGTAGAAAAACAGTAAGAGTTAGTAAATTACTTGTATTGACAAAGTTGTCAGGCTCACAAATGTGCATTATATGATCACAACTGCATGTTCACCGATCATGTTCAACATCATCCTTGTTTCTACGCTCATTGTCCATTTTATCAGCTCCACTTACTATATAGGTGCACTTTGTATTTCTACAATTACAGACTGTAGTCCATCTGTTTCTCTGCATACTTTGTTAGCCCCCTTTTATCCTGTTCTTCAGTTGTTGGCTGGATATGTTTGGTTGGTGGACTATTCTCAGTCCAGCAGTGACATTGAGGTGTTTAAAAACTCCAGCAGCACTGCTCTGCCTGATCCACTCAGACCAGTGCAACACACACTAACACACCACCACCACATCAGTGTTATTGCAGTGCTGAGAATGATCCACCACCCAAATAGTACCTGCTCTCTGAGGGTCCATTGGGGGTCCTGACCACTGAAGAACAGGGTAAAAGGGTCTAACAAAGTATGCAGAGAAACAGATGGACTACAGTCTGTAATTGTAGAACTACAAAGTGCACCTATATAGTAAGTGGAGCTGATAAAATGGACAATGAGCGTAGAAACAAGGAGGTGGTCATAATGTTATGCCTGATCGGTGAACATGCAGTTGTGATCATATAATGCACATTTGTGAGCCTGACAACTTTGTCAATACAAGTAATTTACTAACTTTTACTGTTTTTCTACAAATGCTCACTGTTTGAAAAACACACATTTCAATCAAACTAGTGCCACGATTTATATCTGATCATCTCAAAACTAGTCTTAAAACTTGGAATCTGATAGTAAATAATTATCAAAATACTTCACATGTATGGTCTTATAGTTGAAATATCTTTGTCTATGTACATATATATTTCTATACATTTTTAACACAGAAGTGTAGTGACAAGAATACATTGCCCGATAGACGCCAAACTTGGTATACATGCTCAAGGCCTGATGTTGAAATAGGGTGCAAAGATTGGTGGAAATCTCTTTATAGGCATGTTGAACCTATTTGCCAATTCATAAGAGATCATAAGAGAGTTATTTCCATTACATAGTTTTTCGGTAATCGATAGGTGCTCATACAAAGCACATACCATAAGATGAAGTCATTTTACTGTAGCATTTTAAAGTAACTGGCACCTAAAATCATTACACTACTCCGGTCCTATGCCAGGCACACGTACATAATCATGCTTGGACCCCTGAATTGCTGCTTGCGACTATATTTATAATGATTTGAATTTGGTGTAAAGTTTGCTTTGTGGAATGAAAAAACATCCTTTACATTTGTTGCTATTTTGCTTGTTATTTGTTGACATCAATACAAATCATCAATATTGACTGTAAATGTATTTCAGTATTGTGTAAAGTATTGTGTAAATGTATATCAACTGAGAAATTAATCATGTAATTATATAATTGAATTTTTGTCATTCCAAAGGAGGCCTGTAAAGATTATCTGTAGACCATGCCATACCCCAATCAGAGCGGTTGCAAGCCAAAGTGCTCTCTAGAGGAAAACCAGGCAGGATGTGGAAAAAGCCTGTGGAAATGGAGCAGCGGCAGAAACAAAAGCTGCTGAAAACTGGCCGTAAAAACACAACCAAATGAGATGGAAGAGGACGTAATGCCAAGGCCCAGACTTGGAAGTAATTATGGGGAGTGACCTAATTGTGAGTATAATTATGCAACACCAATGTAGGTTGAATCTTATTACCAGTAAAGTTGGTGATGTCATCATTTTCAGAAAACATGCTATAGACCAAGTCACAAGTTTAATCTAAGATGATAATTTGCTGAAA